CTACTTCATGCAAATATTGCTGCTTGCCCAGTCTTACTGCCGTAGTGTGTCATGGTTTCCCCACATGTGCAACAGTTTTTTGGGTAGAATGGATAAATGCCATAAAACACCACTCAAGTCTTGTGGAAGCACTAAAAAGAGTCAGTCTCGTGCCCACTCTCCAGGTGCAGTTATTCTGCTTTTCTTTTTATAAAGGGGTTAAAGGTGGCAGCCCAGTGTGTGTGTGTGTGTGTGTTCTTCTTGTGTTCATGAAAAGAGAAATGCACTGAATTTTCTGAAGTCACTGCAACCTTGTATTCATCTAATCCATAAGGCAAGCTGAGAATTTTGATCCAGCCCTGACTGGTCTGGCAAGTGACTACAGATGTTACTTTTAATGTGTTCATACTTTTTTTTAAAAAATAAGTTGTTATATCTAGTGCATTAAACAGCAGGATTAAAAAACTTCTGAGTATTTGGAATTTTGTGTTAAAGTTGGGTTTGAGGTATTTTGATCTCAAGCCATGGATTTTTTGCTAAGCTTCATGATATTTCATGGGCAATTGTGTTTTGCTTTCTGATCTGGTTGGAGATGTAGCTTGGATGTAAAGAAAGTGCAGTTTGAAGGAACAGCAAAATTCCTGTAGCAACAGTGGTCTCTCCTGGCTTTCCATGCTTTTCATTACTTAGGTGCTGAAAATGGAAGCAGTAGTTTCTGTGAGGTCTTTGGTTGCATTTGGCATGGAAAAATTCTCCCATTTTTGAGGGAGAACTTAGTGTGGAGCATGGCTGATGGCCAGTGTAGTGAGAAAGGCAAGCTGAGTCCTTGGGTAAATTGCTGTACATCCTTATAAGAAATGCAGGGAAAGTACTGTTGTGCTGTCTATTTGTGCTGAAGGAAAGCTTTTCAGTCCTAAAATGTTACTCAAACATTCTTGCTTTCTTCCCCAGATGGGCCAGTGATACTATTTATAAGGAAAAGTTGTTACACTCTGCTCTTTAGGAGATGGTTTTGCATCCCAGTGCAGCGCACCATGCCAGGTGGCTGGCTGTGCTCCTGCTTTCGGGATTTTTATTTTAATTACTTGTATCTGTCCCTTGCTGGAGGATTTCTGCTCCAGGACTCCTTGGTGGTCAGTGATGTCTTGAGCTGACTGGAGTCTCTGGACTTCAGCAGCATCACACATCCCTCGGCAGCCACAGGGGGCCCACAGGGTGGCCGCAGCAGTTTCCAGCTCTGGCTGTGGCCCGAGGCCATTCTGGAATGTTGGCATCCCCCCAGACAAAAGTGCTTGCAACCTCTTTGGGAGTGATTGAGCATTTCTCTTTTATTACACTGGCATCGTGGATGCTTTGTGCAGAATTACTGGCATGTAACTCTCTCCTTAGCCTGTGAAAGAAGCTGCTGTTGCTTTTGGATCTTGTAGATGGGAGTCAGGGCTGTCCATGCACGTTTCTTCTAGACATTGTCCAACACCTCCTTCAGTCCTAACTGCCTGCCAGTCTCAAACCCCACAGAATACAACACAGTATGGATATAGTTCTAGGTCATAAGCATTCATAAGCACTCTCCCCCAGTAAAAATGATTCTTACCTTAAATTTCTATGTAATTTCCCAAGTAATAAATGGGGAAATAGTGACACACATGCAATGAATTGTCAGTGATTCCCTGTGACCACCAAGGTCATTCAGTGGATGAAGTTTTGTGGAATGTGTAGCATGTTGGTGTGTCTAAGACATGATCAGAGGGGCCCATTCGTATGGATTTAATGAACTTGTGCAGCTCCTTTTTGTTAAGGAAGTGCCAATGGTAGGCCATGACAGGTTCCTCATGCAGTGTAAATCCTGTTTTCTTTACATGACCAAAAACAGTTGGAAAGAACCTTGTTCTTTTGGCAAAGGCAGTTTTAATTAGCACAGTCACTCTTAAGTGGTAATGTAGAAGCTGCCACTGTGAGATGTGTGTTAGAGTAGTTTGGGGTGATTGGTAATTATCTGCCCAGAACTTGTCCGGCACAGTGTTGCTAAGTTTTGCAAGGGGAGGTCTGTTTAGAGGTGATTATGGACCTTGGCTGGTGCAGCATCATCTGTGAGCTGCTTTTGGCTGAAGGGTGTCAGTGGGTGAGGGAGAGAATAACAGCTCTGCCTTTGCCCCAGGCCATGTGGGTGTGATCTGTACATCTCTTCTGTGACTGCAGCAATGGTCTCAGAGGTTCCATCCTCTGGATAGCTCCCAAAACTGCCACTGAACAGGGTATTATTTCTGATACGTGCAATGTAATATAAACTTTCAGGGAAAAAAAGAGGACACTTTAATGTGACGAAGACCCATTGTGTATTGGTAGAAAGTACTTGTCAGAAAGTACTTCTCTTAAAGTCTCAGCCAAATGAATTTGACTATTTGAGATTCTTCTGCCATCTTCATTACTGTTCATGAAGCCGATAGCAGTGGGGCAGCAGTGTGCTGCACAGGACAGTGCTCTAAGCATTTTTTGTATCACCTGCTTGTGACAGCTGAGGCTGAGACAAGGCAGTGTTTCACTTCTCTGGTATTCCATCAGCTGTGAATTTGTGGTAGGGTGAAAAACACCAAACTGGTGTGGAACTGACTTCTGCTTCCTCTGGTGCTGTTAGAGAATAGGGAAAGGATTACTGTCTGCTTTGCAAATGAGCTTTGTACTTAAAGTAATGTTATTTTGACTTCTGTGTTCTTAAGGATCTCTGAACTCCATTCAACATTTCATAGGGCTGCTGTGTAGCTTTAGATTCTCTCATAGGATAACTTCATTAAGCTAAATTAGTTAGAAAGGGGAACAGAAACTGGCTAATAGGTCATGTCAAGCTCTAAGAGAAAATGTACAAGATTCACTAATTAGAAGCTTGGTAAATTCATAATGTAATTAATTCTCCTGACATCAAAGAAATAATTCAAGCTTAGGCCTTGGTAAAGTTACTAAAGCTACAGACTGAAGGACAGCTGCATTAGCAAGAGATGGTCTAATTCAAACAAGACCTCAAGTGGCAGGACCTGAAAAATCTGGCTTAGGTGGTAGATCAGGCTGGGTATTCTTTTTGTCCCTGACCCTACAGGTACTACTGTTTCAGCTCTCTAAGCCTTCAGCTCTGGCTTTGACTGTTGTACTCCCTGTGCCTGTAGTCAATACAACTGTGAACCCTCTGCACTTCAATGTTTGTACCCCATAAATACATGCTGAAATCCTGGAGTTTCAGTCTTTGTTTTGATGCACTTTTTGTTTTAAAAATTTTTTAACAAATCTTTCTCATATCTCATTTCATAACCTGTTTCTCAAATAAAAACAATTGGCTTTCTTTTCTGTCAGGTGAAATACCCCAGCTTTTTCTTGTGTGCCTCTGAAAATCATTTAGATGTGAGAACCCATTTTCTTGAAGACTGAGCATCATTTTCAACATCATTCTACATTCAGGACACTGCCTTTTCCTCCCCCTGCTCCATGAAAATTAAATAGTGTATGTCTCCTTAAGGGCCTGTGAAACAGAAACAAAATAGGCTTCGACTTTGCTGAGCTGACAACATTTTTTTTGATTAGAGATAAACAGAATAATTAGTATATTGCCTATCCTGAAAGTAATGCCTTGTTAGTGCAGGTGTGCCCAATGTGAACAGTAAGTGGCTTGGCTTTGCTCATGTTGTAACTGGGCCTCTGAGCCCACAAGCATTGGTTAGTGAGCTGTGGCTCCTCTGGACAGCTTTGCCTCAGTAACTGCAAGGTTGGCATCTTCTTGCACGGCTGCTGAAAGTTCAGGTTGAAACTTTTTTCCATTAGTGTGGTGATTTGTAGCTGGATGCACAAGAGGTGGGTCTATGTTGCAGTGCCAAACTGAGCAGTTTTTCAGCCCTGTCAGGCGTGTGGCAGCCTCCAGCCATGCCACGGACAGGAGTGGACAAGATAAGGCCTATCTGCTTTTCTCCACTGTGCTTGTTAAGAGATGCCTTGGCACGGAGGGAGGGACAAATATATCTTAAATACTAATTCTTTATAGAAAGGTACCCAATTAGTACTCTCAAGTGTAAGGCCCCTCCTGAATTTAGGAGCTGAAGCCACCTTGACTGTTCCTTCACACTGGTGCTTCTGTGATGACACTATTTGTGAGAGGGAGGTGTGATCTAAAATCTCTCTGTGTGGGTAAGAAGCTGACTCTCTCACACAGCCCCAGTTCTCTTGTGCTGGAACTGGCTGTTTTGCCTTTGCAGACTTTGAGCAGAATGACTGAGCTTTCTGATCTTTTTGGGAAACTGTAAGTGGGGAGAGGTCAATTAAACAGTTTGAAATTCTAGGATAATGAATATTTAGGTTTTTTTACTAGAGGAGGGGGGAAGAGTCCAGGAAACTCAGAATACTTGACAGCTTCAGCATGCATGCCTGTGCAAGGGAAGAAGGGGACTATTTCCACATGAGGTGGAAGAGGTGGTTTCAAGTTCCCATCTTTAAAAAAGGGATGCTTGTGTAGGACCTGCATCTGGTTTTGTCGCACGTCTCTCAGAATTTATCACGTGTGAAAGACAAATGACCACATAATGAAGTGAGACCTTGAGCAGGGGAATATTAATGGACTTGGTTCCACATATATTTAGACAACCCTATCTGTTAAAATAGAGACTTCATCCTCCCCCAGCCTTTGGCTCATGGAAGACTGTTAAGCTGGATCACACTGTAAGAAACTAATAATTGTTAATGTGGATTTAGCAAGATCTTACAGTTTTACATTCACATTCCAAGTACTGCTGCTTTCCTTTCTGCATTAAAACACTAACAAATGTGACACATTTTCTGTTAGCGAGGAAGTCACTGACACTGCTATTTTTAGCATGCCAGAAGGCTAATACAAAGTTCTAATACAATAAATTTAGTTGCCAGTATTAAAAACAGAACATGAAGGGTTAATGAGCATACAGGAGGCAGAGTGTAATGGCAGCTTACAGAAATTGTCTCCACCCAAAAATGCAGCATTTTCAGTCTTTCAAATACAGCATTAGACATTTAATTGCATCTCTTTTATTTCAAATGCAGGATAATTCCCTGAGAAAGCAGTTTTTTACTTAAATAAAACTTTTCCAGAACTTAATCATGTGGAAGAAGTTCACACAGCTGACAGTGAGCTGGAGATGACACATTCTTTGGCCCAGGGAAGTAGTGTAGTGGTCTGGCAGGTGCTCTTGGACTGTTCATTTCCAAAGCTTCACCCCGTACTGTCACCAGCCTCCTTCAGCACTGCTGTCTCCCCCACCTCTGCATCTCCTCCCTGACTGATCTCTGGGGTTTGAATTCCTCTTTGACTGTGCTGCCATGAAAGGGATTTTTCATACTTGGTCTTAAAAAGTAATCCATGACCTGAAAAAGCAGAAGGGGAAAAAAACCCCAAACCAACATCCTGAAATGAGATGACTACAGTGGTAAACAGAATACCTCATTCCTTATAAAGAATGGGTCTTTACAGACTGGACACTGCATCCTGAGGCTTTGGAAGCAGGAGCAGTGACATATAGAGAAGGAAGAGCAGTCTTTTAAAGTGGTACTACAAACTTTTAGATAGCATGTAGCATTTTAGGTAGTATGTAGATTTTAACACCCACCTACACCCCATAACCCAAAGATTAAGCATACATGGGAGATGGATAAGATGTTTGCTTGATGCCTGGTAAGGCCAGATGCACTCACCTGGACAATCTGCTACCTCCTTGAATGCTCTTTTTTTACAGCATCCTCGGCACATGTTAAACACACATTTAGTGCCCTGGGTTGGGACAGCGATATAAAGAAGCTTGTGTCAGTGAAAATAAAATTGTTACTGTTTACTATAATAAGTGACAATACAGCTCTGCACTTTCAGATCTTTGGAAAAAACCCATGTACTCAGCCTAATGAAGATGATGGAGCTGATGTCACATTGGGTGCTATCTGCTGTTTGCACATAAAGAACAGAAAAACCCCAACCAACCAAAAAAAATCCACATTCAGCTTGTGCAGCCCCCATAGCCTGTTGGGCAGCCTGAGTTACCCACCACAAGCAGCCACATGCCATAAGCCCTCTGCAACAAGCATGAACACATTTGGAGCTTGCTCTAGTTCTCTGCAGCATGAAACACAGTGCAACCATCTGCAGCTAGGCCTATAATATGTTACCACCAGAATTACTTCCCTACTTGCATCTTAAAACACACCTGCATATTTATTAAAGTATACTGTGTGACCCTTAGGGGACAGCAGCAGCTGAGTCTTGGCTAACTGATGAGGTGGCAAAACGAGCCTCGGTCTCTGGGGTGCTTTGCTCACACACAGTTTAGAAAAGGGGGTTGAGATTGTTTACCCTGATTCCCTTCACCCCAGTCAAAAAATCCTTCATGTTTAGGGAGGCTTTAGTTGAGCTCCTTGTCCTTTTTCTTCTCCACACCCCCACACCCCCCACCACATTTCATGACATAGCTCAGAAACACATAATCTAGGGAAAAAAAAAATAATTACAGGACTAGTCAGAAGATTTCAAGAGCTACCTGCCACTTTACAGTGATGCAACAGCAAAACAAAAATAAGTCTTAAGCCCTGGTGCAGACAGTCTTGGTTTACGCACCAAGCATAAACCATGTCAAACCATGTCATTTGGATTAGCTATGAAACAGGATGGCTTTGAAAGCAGGCCAGCCTAGTGCTCAGTGCTTTCCCAATAAGGAACACAGCAAAAATATCCCATTTTTTTCAGAAGCTTCAAATTGAGCCTCAGCTGGCTGCCACTGCTGTGCTGCAGTAACAGCCTTACAACAGGGAGCAACATCACGTGCCTGTGTTGCAGGCTCCCGCGCCCCCTGAGGTGCACGTAATGCTAATTTTTAAGCTAGAACACAAAATTATTTGCATCTTACACCCCACTTTACAGTTATATTAGCAGCAATAAATACACTCTGCTTACACAGCAACACCACCCTGCCAAGCAAACAGCTATGTTCACCAAGGGAAAAAACAAGCAAAAGCAAAATGAACTCTTTGCAAATATAAAAATATTTGAAATTTCAATACAGAACCTGTAAAACCAGCTGCCTCATTTCACATTGCTAATAGTGAAAGTCAATGTTAATCTATTGCAAAGGCAGGACTGAGGATGAAGAGGTGCTTAGGCTTGTTTTGATAAAGGTAGAGATCCAAACAACACAAACCAGAGCTGCAGGTGCTGTCTGACACTGCAGGCTGCACTGTGATGACATTTACACTAAGAACCATACCAGTTATTCAAATTTTCCCTTTGCAGAAAAACTCCACCCACCACTAACACCAGTAAGAGGTGGTTTGTTTTTCATTTCACAGTAAAATATGCATGTCATACATGTGTAGAAGTCTGGAGATTTGTTTCCAAGATATCTTGGGAAATTCGATTAACTCACTCAACTGTTTTAGCAATAAATACCCTCAGCAGCAGCAGGACTGCACTTTTTTGGAGAGGAAGGCAAATTCTCTCAAAGAACCTATGTATGTTAAGGATTTTTGTGCAGCACCTTCAACCTCAGAGACTGGTTACAGTTAACAGTTAAAAAGCTTTAGCCCAAGTATGGACTTTCCTCCACACACACACACACACACACACACACACACACACACTCACACTTATCAGCAGGACTTGGCCTGCACCTGTGTGACTGGGCACTGGCACAGACCTACCTCAGGATTTGGAATAACAGAATAGAATCAGAATAGTTTGGGTTGGAAGGAGTCTTTAGAGGTCATCTACTCCAACCCCCTGCAAAGAGCAGATCTACTAGATCAGGTTGCTCAGAGCCCTGTTCAACCTGACCTTGAATGTTTCCAGGAATGAGGCATCCACAACCTCTCTGGGAAACCTGGGCCACTGTCTCACCATAAAAAATGACTTCTAATCTAAGGTGCATCTAGTCTGAATCTACTCTCTTTAAACCCATCACCCCTTGTCCTACTCCAACAAGCTCTGCTAAAAAGTCCATTGCTGTCTTCAAGTCCCCTTTAGGCACTGGAAGGGGCAGTGAGGCTCCCCAGAGCATTCTCTTCTCCAGGCTGAGCAGCCCCCCTGTCTCTCAGCCTGTCTCCTTGACAGAGGGACTCCATCCCCCAATCATCTCTGTAGCCTCCTCTGGGCCTGCCCTAACAGCTCCATGTTTCTCCTGCACCAAGGGCCCCAGAGCTGGATGCAGAGTGCCAGGTGGGGTCTCACAAGAGCAAAGGCACAAATCCCCCACCCCATGACCTGCTGTCCATGCTGCTTTTGATGCAGCCTAGAACACAGGGGCTTTCTGGGCTGTGAGTGCACATTGCTGAGTCATGAGCAGCCTCTCATCCACCAGCACCCCAAAGTCCTGGGCAGGGCTGCTCTCAAGCTGTTCCTGCCCCCAGCCTGGATTTGATACCACGGTTGCCCTGACCCAAGTGCAGAATCTTGCACTTGGCCTTGTTAAACCTCAGAGGTTCCCACAGGCCACTGCCTGAGCTTGTCCAGGTCCCTCTGGATGGCTCTGTCCCTCAGGTGTGTCATCACTCCACTCAGCTTGGTGTCATCTGCAAATGTGCTGAGGACACTCTTGATCCCACTGTGGTGACCTCAGTGGTGGAGACACTGAACAGTGCTGGTGCCAGCACAGACCCGAGGGACAGCACGTGTCACTTCTCTCCATCCAGAGCCTACATCATGGACTTTTAATTTCCCTTTAACGGAAATGCTTTGATGGACACTTGTACTGGCTTACCTTAGGGTTTCCACACTGATCACATTTTGCATACTTGGCTGAGAGAGAGAGAGAGAGAGAGAGAGAGCTGATTTCACCAATGGTATTTTTACGTGGAAGTACATTAAAAAAAAAAAATCAGAACCAGAAAAGCTTGGTGCTTTTCTAGCCAGAGTCCTTTTGAAATAAAACTACAGTACCTCAAATAACAGTGCAAAGGTAAAAATACTTTGAATTTTTAAGTGCCTCTATGTTAAAATCCAAACATTGAAAATTTTAATCCTCAAGTCAAGCATAAAACAGGAGGACATCAGCTTGAAATTCATACAAAATTTCCATTTCAAATGCTAGTGACAGCTACAATGCAGTTTGTAAACCATTTTGATCTTCAAAAGATGCTTAGAGAGAATCAGTGACCTACTGCTTTGATCCTTGTTTCCTTTACTAGTGAACATTATTTGAATCATGCTGCCTGCTATTAAAATTTCAATAGCAACAGTTCCTCCTCTTTTCAAAGAAGTTTCTACAAGTACACAAGCCAGGAAAATTCTTAGCAGCAAGTTATGTCAAAGGTGGTATCAGCATATCTCCATACATTTATGCCAATAAATGAACTTACGTTTTAAAGATGGATCAAAGCTTTTATTTGGATTTCTTAACTTCTTTTTTTGTTTATTCTTTGAAAGAAGCTCAGAATTTCCATCTTCCTCTTCTTCCAGAGCACGTTTTCCTCGCACACCTTTTTCAGTTCCACTATCTCCATTCTCCCTGCATCTCTCCTTTGGCCTGAAACAGTGAATTTCATCATAAGTTGACTGAAGGGAAGAAGTAGCTCTTCCCTGACCATTATTTTGGTTTACAGAAATCTGGGTAAACCATAAACCTTGCTGTCATGGCTATAATGAAGTGTCATTGCCCTCAGAAGTGGGATAGAAAAACCTATCTTCTTTGGTTAACACTGACAGTTAATAACAGACACACTATATATATATGTATATCAGATATATCAGCTGGAAAGCCAATTAAAGTTGGTCAGCTAAATTAGGCACATTGGGTCGTTGTTCTCAGCTGCAGTGGGATTCCTAATTTTTACTTTCCAGAGAGAGAGAAATCTGAGGAGGATCCAAAGGAGAAGATGCAAACAATGAGCAACATCCCCACAAACAAAGCAATAACTAGGAAACAACTAAACTAGAATTAAAATAATCCAAAGTCATCTTCAGTCTTCACTTTTCCTTTTTTTTTTGTATGGGTGGGAAAGGCCTATGAGTACCTGTAAGTATCAAAATAAGTAACTCACCCTGGCCTGATGTATGGCTGACAGATCCAGTGGAAAAAAGGCAACCCTTCTTTTGGCTTTTCTCCTTCTTTCTGATTAGCTATTTCTTCCTGCAGCATAGAGTTACAGTCAGTCTTCCTGGAGTTGTCAGAAAATACACTAAATAACACTTCAAACTCCAGGAAATTACAAACTGAAATTTAAGCTAACAATTACTGACAGTTACATATAGGCAAAAAACCCCATCTATTATGACATATGAACTGAAGCACATTTGTAACTCCTAAATCAACTTTATCCCACATAAAGTTGTCCAAGCTTAAGGGGATGCTACTGTAGTAAGCTAGGAATATCGAGGTTAGTAAGCCACAAAGTCCCAGAGAAGACTAATGGATGTCAACTCTATGACATACTTGGTACATTCCCACCAAGTGCAGGCAGTGCTGTTCTGGGAGATTGGGGCCCATCTTGGTACCTGGCATCGCAGTTTCAGCTCTCTGTTGACATCTACAATGCCCTCTAGAGTCTTCACTTTTGCTAATTCTTCACGCAGCTGATGGTAAACTTGAAGCCTGAGGCAAAGCCCAAACATCAGTTATATTTAGACTGCAGTCAACTAAAAATAACTGTATAAAAGCATTTTATACACTTCTCCTGATTAATTTGCCTTTGGCAGAAGCTTATATTCCTCTTTGTAAGTCCAGAGAAAAGCACACATATGTCTCTTCCAGATAAATACTCAGTAGACAACCAAGGTACTTTGACATAAGCTAACATGAATGTACAGTGCATCAGCTGCTTCTCAGTAACTGCCCATAGCTATGCTCTTACTCCACAATAAATGCAACAGCACTGTGCCTCACCATGAACAAGGAGATAGTTAACTTGTGTTTGCCATGAAGTGTGTGCATGTGGGCAATTACCACATTGCAACTGGTGTGCTGTGAGATCACACCCTGGCTGATCTTGTGGCAACTTGTTCATTCCCCATGCCCTGTTTCCCAGATATGAAATAAGGGTAAAGGCCTCAGCCCACACCCTCTCCAGCCAGGTCCAGGAAAGAAAACTTTGCAGCATACTCATTCTGGCTAAACAAATCCTTGTCCAGAAAGCCCAGACACTTTGTAAGCAGGATGAGTCCTGAAAACATTAAAGAATTCTATGGAGATACTCACGTGTGATGCCAGAGCTTGAAGAGATGAGCCCTAACATAAGACAGTGGACAAGGGTACTTCCTCACGATCTCCAGATACTCCTCAGCCATCTCCCACACCAACGGGTTCCGGCCCTCAAACAAAGCTGGATTATGAAGATTACCTTCTAGGGAACGAAAAGAAATACTCAAACTTTCATTTCAGGATTGAAACAAAGGCCAAAATCCCTGCTCGGGAGTTTGATCATCTCTTTTGTGATTCTACACCCACAGACACATCACCCACGTACTCTCAAAAAGAACACAGGGTCTGAAATACCCTAGCCTGACCTTGGGACACTATATTTCACTATGCCATTCCTAACTGCATTGAACAGCTCATATCTAATTGAAGTACTGTTTCTAGAAAGGCATCTAACCTTGACAGGAAGACAGTAAACCAATTAATAAATAGAGAATCACTGCTTTTGTTGCCCAGCAATTAAATACTGAAATGACAGGTGTCTTGCCTTATGTCTGTATTGATATTTGTCTGGCCCAAGTTCACAGATACAGCTTCTCACTGTCCTTTTCTCCACTGGCTTCACAAGCCTTTTGTTAACCAGTATTTTCTAAAACCAAGATTCTATAACCCTTCTTTAATTGTCTGAGTGATTAGAAGCTTTTCTGATGCTTATCCTAGCTCTTCCTGTAGGAAGTTATGTCAATTCTTTCTTGTCCCAACCCAACACGAACCACCTGCAGGAATATTAACCCACAGATGCACTTAGTTCATGGAGCACCATTCAACAACTGTTCCATTGATTAACAGATGTCACATAAAATATTCCAGGACAACAGGAGCCCCATATGCCTCCCATATGTCAAGTAATTACATTTCAGCTCAATGAGTCAATGGTATTGCAAGTCCAACATAATGATTCTTTACCAGTCTTAAGGGATTCCTATTCTTGGTATAAGATGAGGGAGAATGGCCACTCAGCTGTAAAGCAAAGCCGTTCACCAAGTCAATCTGATGTAAGAATTAATAAATGTATATGGGACTGCTAAGGGAATAAGAAACAACTTGTATTCTCATCAGAGTAGAAGTTAATTTTCTTTACCTGCACTCATGACACCATGTACTCCTGTCTTACGGATGCATTCTTCCACATCACTGAGACACTGGATGTTTCCATTTGCAAATACAGGAATGTTTACAGCTTTTCTATTCCAATGAATAAAACAGATGCATAAAATTGAGAGTTAGAGTCAACCCAGAAATTCTCCTCCTATCACATAAGTTTGCTTGCTCTTCAATGCCACTGTACACTCTATTTAAAATCCAGTATGTTAGCAGGAATCACTAAGACTGGTACTGCTCACTAACCTTACAGCTTGAATGTGCTCCCAAGATGCCACACCAGCAAGTGGTCCTTTCTGTTCTTTAGTACGGCCATGCACAGTCAGCAGCTGGAACACAACATTACATTTGCTTTCCACGTGTATGAGCCACTGGAATAAATCCACTGAAAACACTTATTTTCACTCCCTACATTTCAGGGATGCCACTGATTTCCTGCTGCTTTTTCAACAGTGCAGGGAGATTAGCAACACAGAAAGATATCAGCAACTCAGCTACTGTGGCATGGTCTTAGGCTCTTTTCATCTTGCTATTCCATGGCATGACAAGATTCTATCATGGGAGAACCTACAGCTTTCCTTTCCTTTTCCTATTGGATTCCATTTCTGATTCGCTTTGGAATTTGTGATATATTGATCTAGCTTTCTCCTCAGCAGAAGGTCCAAATACTGTCAGTACTGTCTCTAACTATAGACCATCTCTTCCAATTTAACTGGAGTTAATACCTAGAAGGCTGCCTATTTCTTCTAGTGACACCTTTTGATACCCTTTTTCTTCTACAGTACTGTGGATTTCATGCATTCACACTTGCCTTCTGCAGCACTATTGAATATTGAGATGCTCAACCACAGTGAAGGATGCTGCACAGGGCAGTGATTACAAGAGACTGAAATAATTTTGTTTTTCATACCACACTACTGACCTCGAGCCTAGGGCTGCAAACACAGAATCTGTCTGCATCCTGTTTGCTCTGTCTGCAAAATAATGCAGCCTATTCATACCCACAGTATACCAAGAACTGGTCATCAGATACTTTACACAAAGACACATGTCCAGTGCAGGAGTAGAGGGAGCAGCTGCCTTCTTACCTGGCAGCCAGCTTTCTCCAGCATCTGTGCATACTTCACTGTCTTGTCAATGTCTGGGAAAACGCGGATTTTGCATGTGATGGGAACAGAGAGCTTCTCGTTAGCCAGTAAAACTGAGAAAGATTGAAAAGACAGGTAAGTGGGCTGCACAATGCTATGAAAAGTGTCTGCTTTCCTCAAGATCTGACACCGGGTATGGTATGGAAAAAGCCTAAGAAGTTACTGCCATGCAGTTCTCACAGCTTAAAAAATCAGCAGTGTCCTCTGCAATCTTTACTGCATAGTTTAATCACATAGCAATAACACACACATGAAACACAAAATCTGCATCCTAACAAGGTGGCATAAAACAGTCACCCATTTAATAGCCCTAACACTTCCACTGCATTAAGCCTTCACTTTCAAAGACCACCCCCTCACAACTGAATTATTGATAGAAGTTTATTATCTTCACAGGATATTGTATTCCTCCAACATTAACACTTGCTTGTCTACCTTTCCCACAAAAAGGTGCTTCACTTCTTTGCAACTTATCACCAGAAAAATCATTATAAGTAGATTCCTATCCATGGCAAGCAGAGGCTTATCAAGTGAGGCAGGCTATGGATGCAATCGAGTAGTAAATGTAGGTTATAGAGTCAGGGTGAAATCTAGAACATGGTAAACTCCCAGTCCCTACACAGTACATGGAATCACAAAAATACCAAAAGGAGAGCTAACAAAGAGAGACAACAGGAAAACACAGAGTAATGTTGTGTCTGAAATTCTCTTCTCTTCCAGAGCTTGGATATACTATGTAGGAAGTCACCTGCTGTCTTCTAATCCAAATCCTATGAGCTCTTATGATTGATAGGTACTTCCCATCACCCTTTCAAAGGAGGCAAGCAAGGTGTACACAGGTAAAAGCAGAAAAGAGTGCTCCACCATTTTAAAGGCAGCTGGGGAAAGAAGGAGGAAGAGGACAGCCTAAGATACCTCTCTTACTAGACAGCCTGGGCTCACCCAGCTAGATGACCTGGGTTCTCTTCACACCTTGAGGCTATTCTGATTTGCATATTTCTCAACAGCCACATTACATGCTGGGCAAGGATGCACTGTCTTATCTTCCAGGTTCTCAGCAGCATCTTTGTACCAAACATCACTCAAGATTCCCCAGACCACTGGGAATGCAAACAGAAATAGGACAGTCTAACTTCATGGCTCCAACACTTGCTTTAAAGTGGGATGAAGGCACATTCTCAGTTCTACAAAATGACCAAAACCTTGCTTTTTACATCAGTTACAAATGTATTTCTTAAAAAAAATATGATACTGTTCACAACAGCTACTGATAGCCTGAAAATAACCTACACAAATTAGGAGAAGAAAGACATAAATTGCTATACTCTGGACAGAAAGAGTACACGGAGTTGATCAGAAAAGGGCAACTGTGGCTTCACGGAGAAACATGACCCTTGGCACCTGAGAACTTCGGAGTGAAAATGTAAGGAAGGCACTGGGACTTCTACTGTTTCTAGAGCTGGAAAGCCACTACGCTATCTTATGAGACTGGGACTTAATTGACTCACTTTCACCTGAAGCCTTTTTCAGGTACAAAAGTCTTTTAGCAGATCTAGTGTGAGTTTGCAGTGGGATACCACCAAGTATCTTGAGGGTGCCACTGGAATACAGTATGAAATAAAAAAATAAAAAAATAAAAAAATAAAAAAAAAAGAATACAACTGCCCCTTCAAAACCCAAACACAACTCTGCCCAAAGAAATATGATGCACCTCGTTTCTCCCAAAATCCCTAAACCTCCTCTCAATAATTAGTTCATCCTATTCCCTCTCTAAATACTTACTCATTCTCTGAAGAAGATCCCACTCCTCTTGCAGAAATGCTCCATAGTGACCTATGATAAAATAGCATATGACAGACTTGTGCAGAAGAGTAAGACCCTGAAGTACAGTTTTCAGAAACTCTCACAAAGATCCAGACACTCATATGCATCACTGGCAGAAACAGAGTTGCTCTGTCCTGCCCCAACTGGAAGAGTGGGATCATTCTGTTGTCCCTGCCACTCTAAATTTACAGGATAAACAAGGAATACCCACACCCTACTTTCACTGGTACTCCCCAAGGCTGATGTGTTGACACTTGCAGCTCAAAATCCAACTTCTAAGGGTTTATACCAGATGTTTAATAAATCCTATTAGAATAACAGATGATCAGACTGAAAGATCTATTTGTACCACTAATCATTTCCTATTAGTCTTTGAAAGATATTTAAGAAGAATGGGCAGTTATGGAACAAATATTTTCTCAACACCTTAACTGATCCAAAATTTTCAAACACTGCCTCTGGTCTTCAAACATGCAGTATCTAAGGGATTCAGTAGGTGTCATCCTCTTCTACACTACTGTGAAAAACTCTGCAAGTATCAGGGAAATAAGAGATCCTAAGGGTCTGAATTATCTAATATTAATGGCAGTTTTTCAAAAATAGGCTGTTTGAGCAAAAATGAGAAAGAAAATCAAGCTCTTACTAAAAATGTTTCTGAAGGATATTCTAGAAAAGGGAGCTGCCACTTAAGAGAAATTACTTATATCTAATTTTTGCTTTAGGTACTACAAAAAGCATTACCTGCTACATTGGGTGTAACTAAGTCTGACTTCAGCAGAACTGCAGCTTCCCCAAGGCTTGATTTGGCCCTCTTGATATTTTACTGCCAACATTCACATTTGAAACACCACTTGCCATTTCTCTACTTATCCAGGGTTCAGATTTGCACATACCTCTCTTTGCAATCATTTGGGGGCAACCCAAATTTAGGTCTATGGCATCACAGTAATCCTGAGCCAACAGTGCTGCCTGGACAAACACTTCAGGATCATTGGCACAGAACTGTGAAAACCAAAGAGAAGTGGAATAATCAGGCAATAGCTTTCTTCAAGTACTGACAAAACGTTATCATGTAATTATGAAGCAACTACCTGCTACAAAAAACAGGCAAATATGCACAGTTAATAACACCAAACACTATTTCTCAAAATGATCAAGGGAAACCATGTGATGTAATCTTTTTGGATCTCAGTAAAGCATTTGATACTGTTTCTCACAGGATGGTTCTGCACAAAATGTCCAGCCCACAGCTGGATAAACACATTGTGTGATGGGCAAACAACTGAGTCAAGTGCAAAGGGTTATAGTGACTGGGATGACATTAGGCTGGTGACCGGTCATGACCAGGGCTCCATCTCAGATAGGGCCAGAGCTCTTTAACAGCTTCATAAATGACTTGTAACCTGCTGACATTTGTAACCTTGCTGAGGATACCAAACTGGGAGGAGCTGTCCACGCCCCGGGAGGCACACTGGTCCTGCAGAAGGACCGTGACAATCAGAGGGCTAGGCAATCACAGACCATATGAAGTTTAATAAAGACAAGCAGCCTATTCTGAACCTGGGACAGGGTGGCTCTGCATGTACGGACAGACAGGGGAACAAAAGGCTGGAGAACAGTGCTGCAGAAAGGGACCTGGGGGTCCTGGTTGATGGCAAGTTGAATATGAGTTTTTTCTGTGTCAAAAGAAGAACATTGTTCTCCCACAGAAGAAGAATGTACAAGACGCTGAGATTAGCTCATTTGGTTAGAGCATGGTACAGCTAATAACACCAAGGCTGCGAGTTCTGTATAGACAATTCACTGAAGAGTTGGGCTCAATGTACTTGTCGGCTGTGGACTCGTGGGTCCCTTCCAACCCAGAATATTCCATGATTCTGTGAAAGCTGTACTGAGACAGATCAAAGGTCAACACCAAAATGTCTAGGGAACAGCAGAAGCAGAAAAAGTGTCTTTATGGACTTTGGAAACAGAAGGTGTGTTTGTTGCATCCAAAGACCCTCAAGTGTTTTCCTTCATTTGCTTTCTAAACTCATGTAATGTTCCAGAATCCAGTACATCCCACAGCAATGAATTTCACAGTTTATAACTACCACTATGCTTACTTGTTTCCCACTCATCATCTTCAAGCCAGTAGTATTTCCACAGGCTTCTCTTATCTCTCCCTTCAGTCAAGGGAGACACTTCTTTTCCAGGGTAAACAGTCCTCATCCATTTAACTGCTCCATGTGTGCACATCAGTCATTCCTCTGCTCATGACCATCTTTGTCTGCATTATTCTCCAGCTCCACAAGCCACTTTCCATCTTTGGGATGCAGTGAAATACCTTATCATCACACAGTAGTCCAGAAGCAGAAGCAACACATGCTTTAAAGTCTGTCCTGTCTTCCTTTCATCCTTTCTCTACAGCTAAACACTGAGCTCAGGATTTCAGATTACTACTCAAAAAAGCTGTGATCCTCAAGCGGTGCCAGATCCGGGACACACCCTAACTCTACAAGACCAACTGTAATCTGTTTTTAAAGATGAGGTGCAGGGGACTGAAACCCTCTGAGAAGTGCAGTGCTCCAGGCCCCTGTGGTTAAGACAGCAAATCTCTGCTAAATGTGGGATAAACAGAAAAACACACATCTTCCTGAGCTAAGTACTGTCAGCGGTATTTAGATGAAGAAAACGAGATTTCTGTTACGCTATATAACCACGTTAAAATGTGCACGAGGCTGACTAACTTCAACTCGTGCACATTTGGGAAACGCCTGGATTTGTTAGGTGGATGGCGCGCGTGCCTTTGGCAATTGCGCCCTCAGCGTTACCCAGGACCGGCACGGCAAGGTGAGCCCAGGGAAGCCCCTCCCGGCAGCCGCCGCCGCCGCTCTCGGTGCTGGGGCTGACCGGGGGAGCCGGGGCGGGGGCCGCGCTCACCTGCACGATGAGCGGGCGGTCCTCGGGACAGGCCTCGTCGTAGAGGTTCTCGCGGCGGTAGTTGGCGTCCCTGAGGAAGACCTGGGCGTGCAGCATCGGTGTGTAGCAGAGCTGGGCGCCGTGGCGGCGGCTCAGCAGCCTCCAGGCCAGCTCGCTCTGGTCCACCATGGGCGCCACCACGTAGTGGGCGCTCCGCAGCGTCTCCCTCCAGAAGGCTTCCCCGCGCAGCTTCGGCATCTCCCGCTTGCTCGGCCGTGCAGCGTTGCGGCTGCTGGCGCCCCGCGCCGCCGTCCCGGGGCTCGCGGCCTGAGGCCCGCAGGCTGCGGCGACCGCTGCGCCCGGGCCGGGCCGCGCCGCAGCCGGACGGTGCCACCGCCATCTCGCTCCGGCCGGCTCCGCGGTGCAGCCGCGCGCCGTCCCCTCCGGAAACCGCGGCGCTGCCAGCAGGGGCCGCGCGCGGGAAATGGGCAGCGGCCGAGAGGCTCCGCGCTGCCCGGGGCGCCTGAGGGGCGCTGAGGGGCGGCTGAGGGGCGGCTGAGCCCTCCTCCTTCGTGCCACTCTTGGGAGTGACCGCGGTGTGGGCGCGACCCGTCGATTTCTCTCCACCTGAGCTGATTGTTTTTAATAAAGACATCAAAAAGGAGAAAGATCTCCGGCCCATTCCTTTCAACTGACAAGCCTTCACAGTACAAGTTCGTTGTCAAAACCTGTATTTCACCCCCGTCCAGCTTTCTAGCATTCATGGCTGTGATGAACTTGTTGCAATAAATGTTTCAAGCTTCTAATTATTTTTTACCATCTTTCATTACCTCTCTGCAGCCTAAAGAACGAAGTTGCTATTTTAAAATATACAGCTCTGCCCCCCTGCTATCAGCACTCCCCCTTCCTCTGATGAAACTGCTCCAGGGGTATTTTTAAATTTCTTTTGACCCTGATTTGCAGGCATCATGTCTGGTAACTTAAGTGCAGAAGAAGCAAACACCTGCTTCCTATTCTACCTTAAACCTTTTGGGTTTTACTTGACCTCCACTTGAACTTCACTTTCTGGTAAGGCTTCTGCTTTCTGGTGGTGCTATTTTATGTAACCAGGTCTATTAAACTGTAGCCCTTCTTGCATTGTTTTTACTGCTATCTTCAGCAAGAGAGGTGTATTTCTTTGCCTTCTAAGGTGGTAGACTAGAAAAGGAAAATAATAGCTTTAATACTCGTGACAATATAAGCTGTGTGCCATACATTCTTGAACTCTTTATATTGCAGATTTAAGGTACATGGTCCATCATTTCAAAATGGCAATGTGCATTTGTGAGCCTAAACAGTTCCCCAGTCAGAGAACTGCTCTTCAGTCTTGAGACTGAGATCAGCATGGTTTTAGCCTGTGAGAAGCTATCTGAAAAGGATGGAATGCAGCAGCTGACAAGAATCCCCACTTTAGTTTCACAGAGAAGAGCAGGTATGAGGGATTTCACTTCTGTCCTTGTCTTCTCAAAACAAGAAACTGCAATATTGGATTTTGCCTTCTGATATTATTCTACATGTCTAATCTGATGGGCTACTGATAAGCAAGCAATACCAGCACTAATAAGGTTTTTATTTTTGGCACACTGCGTTCAGCAGCCAGTTATAATATGGGTTACATGGCAGCAGCTAATAATCAGGTAATTATGGGGGAAAAGAGCCCTAAACATAACCTTCTGCTTTTCAAATAACAACCACAAGAACACCAACAATATATAAGCTGTAAGTTATTCTTCAGCAACTTCTATGACTAAACCAGTATTTTCAAGCTCTGCTTAGATGAAACCATTCAGTTTATACAGGGAGCTCATCAAACTCCTGCCTCAACAGCTGGGACAGCATTAGTCCTTGCTCCTTCCACACAGTCCATTCAGATGTTACACACGTTAGCACAGCACTACTGCACCTGTTTGCTTTACATTTAATCCTTTATTATTCCTTCCAGTTTTAAATATAACCAACACAAGCTGGCTATTCTTTCCCCTTTTTTTTCAGGCTCACTACAACTGCCAGTAGTTAAACCAAACCAACTAGTCCCCATTTGTTTTGTTTTATGTAGTACCCAATGGCAGTAGGTGCAGGGACCATGTGCAGTAGATGGAATGAAGTCCATGGTGTATGCACACAACTTACACAGCCACTCCAGTATCAGTATGCAGTATCCCTCACACAGCACACACTTTCCTCCTTCTGTTACTGTCTAACACTTAGACATCATACCTAAAACTTCAGAGCATTTATACCCACTGCCTGTCTAACCCTCAGAGAGGCCCTGAGGCAGATACTGTCCCATTTTACAGATAGGGAAACTGAGGAGTATTAATGGCTTTTTCAATACTGCAAATAAAAGCTCATCTAAAAGTTCCCACTTCAATATTATGGCTGTAAATTGGTTGTATCTAAGGTACCAAAATCATGGCAACAAGAAGCTATACTTCAGAATACTAAGCCTTCATTGATATTATTTTATTATTATTACTATTATTATTTCTACAGAATACAAATCAGATATGTTAGCAGCAGTTTTTTTGCTTTATACCAAAAAGTGAGAGACTCCAGATGAAACACGGGATTAAGAAATGATGGTATAAAGTAATTCAAAACCCAACCAGTGATGAATTCTGTTTAATACTAGAAAAGCCAAAGACACTTTTCAGACCAAAAAGTATTAATTAAAAGAAAAAAAAAAAAGAACAAGACATTTCAAAATGGTTTAAGCTGACATTATGTTGTTTTATTTCAATTTCACAAAAGAAATACTTTATAAAACTAAAATCAGTTAACCCAGCCACTATCAACAGAGGGTGGTATAAGCAAAAGACACTAGGTCAGAACCTGCAGTGAAGAGCCATCTGTTCCTGTCACTGGAATGCTCCTGTACCACCAGAATACTTCACTGGGGAACGGAGAGAACCGGGGTTTTACAGCAGTTTGGAGAAGCACAATAGCTCCTCCTAGTTGGTGCTTTGTTGCTACCCAGGTCTCCTCTGTATCATAAGTGTAACAAGGATTTACTGATTTTGGAAAGGACAGATCCAGCATAGCAAAGGCAAGAAATTTTTCATTTCAATTTTATGCAAACTTCCTTTAAAAAGGTACTACTGTATTTTAAAATCAGACCATCAAACTGATTACTTAGCTAACTTATGTGGGATTTCAAGCCTCATTACTGAAAGGAAAAGAAATACAAGGCTTAAGCAAGCCCTGTGCTAAATAAAATATATAGAGGCTTTGGGTAGACTCTTGTATGTTTGCCTGAGCTTTGATTATGGGAGAGCAGGGGTGGGAGGATTTGTTCAGTTATTGTTAAGGAATTCTATTCCCTGCCCTCCCCATTCCAAATTTTTCATTGGGTGGCAAGACTGGAGGTGAGAGGGAATAAGGTAAAGCAATAATTTTAATGCTTTACTAAGGTTCTGATAGAGCAGGCCACAGAACCTTGCACAAATATAAACAAAGTACCTGCCTAGGGACAGCTTTGCCTGTTTTTATCATGCCCAAGTTATGGCTGTTCAATACAGCAGCATCTGTCAAACCACCCACCCTATCCCCCAGGCCCCTCTCTCCCCTGAAGAGTACATGATGGCAAGAATCCTTCCTTCTACCTATTCCTTTCTGAAAAGGGAGGGCAGCAGGAGAAAAAAAAAACAAACCATAAACAAAAACCAAAAATCAACTCAACAAAACCAAAAAGAAATTATATTATTTCAAAGATGGGCAACTTTCCCTTACAGAATAAACCTTCCCCTTCAAAAAGGGATGTTTCTTTGCTCCTATAACCCACGATAAATTAAAACCAAGTAAGAAGTCTCTGGTTTGACACAATAAATACTTAGAATATAGCAAATTAAAAAATATAGTTACAAAACCCTCAATGGAATTCTCTTTCTGACCTAAACTGCAGACAGACTCTTCACAGATAAAAAGTATCTCCAAAATCAGCTGCAGCTCCTCTCCTCTCCCTGTTCACTAGGCTTGGTCAACAAGTGCTATCACCTACCCTTTGGAATACTGTTAAGACAAAAACAATATAAAGCACAAGAAATCTACTCCTAAATTTGTTTTTTTATACTGCCAAGGATGTAGGAAGCAACCATCTGTGGGGAACCCTCACTGCAGTGCACAGTGACAGAGTCACAGCACTACAGTTAACACAGACAGGGAGACTAGGGGGAAGAACAGCCATAGGAAAGGAAGGAGATAGAACCCATAAATGTTGGAAAAGATAAGCAAGAAAGAGACAGAAAAAGACCAATTGAGTCCAGCTGGACTTCCCAGTTCTGGCAGCAGAGCAGATGAGATGTTGAACAGGAAGAGTTCCTTGGGGCCTGTCATAACTAGGAATGTTGTTGGCATTTTCTTCTTCATTGACAGTGAGGAAGTAGAAATTAACCCTCTCTGACACTGACACGTGGCTCTGCCAGTGAGCTGTGGATGATCCCAATAATTGATTCAACACCATTTCCCTCCAGCAAGGTGCGGTGATCTCCTTCAATGACGTGGACAGATATCTTCCCATCGCACACCTGCGTAAGTATGAAAAAGAAAACTTTTCATTCACAATTTACAACCAGCTGGTCACTGTGGCTTTGTTAGTCTTCTAAGTTAGTCATAATTTAGACCACTGTCTCTATCAAACTCAGTTAAAAATGGCACTGGTTTTACTCTGACACATTTTCACAGATCAGCTGTGGTGAACTGTTTAGAACCAGTGTTTTAAAGCACAATAGTCTGACAGCCTGACAGGTGATCCACTCACATATAAGCTGGCCAGGAAGTTAACCAACCTAGTACCAAAAGAATAATTTACCTACAATATCAAAGAATGAATGATAAAGTAGCTACTTCCAAGCCCTTAAGTAAACCAAATAAACACCCCTCCCCTCCTCACCATCTTTCTCCCACCAGCAGAAATCTTCCTTTAAGGTCATTATGCAACTTTAATAACATACAAATTAGCCTGGAATCAATAATGACTAAATTAGACATCTGAAAGGATAGGAGATGCCAGAAGCAGGAAGAGAATTCTGACAATCACTTCCTTTTCCCTGGTATTTGCACCAACTTAAGCCTTGTATGTGAGCAGGGGCTAAAGAATAGCGACCTTATCTAGACTATGGGCCAAACCCCAACCTTTTTTTTTAGCCCACAAGAAACCCATTTGTAACTACTAGCTTCTAAGTGAAAAAAAAGGTAACTGAGAAAAAGCTGCCTTTATTGTCAGAAGACTGACACTTGCTCTTCAGAAGGCTGCCCTCATTCCGTGAACTAGGTTCAGGGTCTGCAGTGAAAAGCGACTGCTCTCTTTTAACATCATTATTATCCAAAGTCATTCTAGAGATCTTCAAAAATCAG